CCCAGCACCTTAGCCATTTGCACCACCCAGGGACATCTAGCTGGAAAATACCTAATTTCCTCAAAATAGGTATTTTTGAAAAATTTAAATGATTACCCCCATGTTAGACCTCTAAGAGACGTAATCCTGACAGCTGCTGCTCACGTAATTGCTAAGAACCTGGCCAAAGAACCTGGCACGGTAGAAATTTCCCCAAGCTCATGTAGAGGAAGTTTCCTATAATCCTAGATCACCAAGTACGTAGCAAAATTCTCCCTGCAGTCTGTTTACCATCTCTTTTATTTTGGTCTGGGGAAACACTTTAAATAGAGGAAGATCTAACTTCTGAAATGCGGGCCAGTCACCAGCTGTGGCACAGATACATCCCAGAAGACATGTTCATGGCATACGAAATTGCTAACAGAGAGGCACCCACCATTGTCCTCAGCAAAACAGTGTCTGCTTCCTGCAAAGGGCATGGGACACAAGTGGCCCACACCCTCCACTGTGGCCGCCAGTAGAACACCAGCAAAAGGACCCCGCAGGTCAGCACCGATGCTATAAAGCAGAGGGCACTCCGTACAGTGTGACTTCGGTACCCAAACGCCTCCTGTAGAGAAAATAAAAGATCATTCTAGTTTCCTTCATTTCACATAAACACATGATTTGTTCCAAGAAACATAAACTTTTGATGCAGGGTGTTGGTTGGGAGAGAAATCTGGTTTCAGCTGGTTGAACCAGGTCTACTGCTTGCAGCTGTCAGCTGATAAATAAAAAAGGGTTCATTTTACTACCTGGCATAGGGAACTAAAACACTAGATGGGAGGAACACGGGATGGGCAGACTCATCTGCTGCTATATACGCCTAAGAGTCACCTCAGATGTTTACAAAATACCTGTGGTTTGGACCAGATTTATTTTCCATAGGTATTAGTTTTTTGTTTTTTGTTTTTTAATTGTTCACATGAATTTACTAGAGAGAAATGTTCAGAATACGACAGGTATGGTCTACACATATATATCTAACTTTATTCAAATTCAGCTTTGTTTTATAATAACATGACTGAGAATGACTAAAAATATGAATAAAGATAATATTTTCTCAGTAGGATGTTATAAATTAAAGGATTGTCCATGGACATGAAAGACTTTCAAAAGACAGCTTATGGGTTTTTACCCTGAGAGAAACACGCTGAAACATTTGTATTTTTAGTAGCAGTTTAGTTAATATTCATCGTAATTTGAATAAAGACTTGATATGTCATTTTAGGAAAAAAATCAAAAGACCAGACAAATAGATTTGTTTATTTAAAGCCAATTTCTAGTTCCCATCCTTCACAATGAAGTTGCCAAGCATTGTTTTATTTTTTTAATTTCTGCAATTAGATTTATAAATGTATGTTGAAGAGCCCAACGGATGCTAATTATGAATGAAATTTTACGATACTATTACGTTCAATTCTGCTGGTGGTATTTCTGTTTTGTTCTGTGACTCCAAACTCCTGTGTCCAGATCACAGAGCCGTAACGTCAAGAAAATAGTTTTTTACTGAGCTTCTATGGCACTTTCAATGATGGGATCAACTGCATTTTATGTAGGTTTAGTTCACATGATAGCAACTCTCATGGCTTAATTCTTTGGACAGTTTTCATCTTCAATATGGTCACTTAATT